ATTATGTTATATGTGAAATATGGATTTTCACATAAGGAATAATGACCACTGTGTAGCATGTGGCTAATGTTTGGGGTTTTTTTCCATCTTGGTGCAAAACACTATTCCCTTCCCAACATCTTGAACAAATTATAAATAATAAAATATCAATGCGCCAACAGTGTGAGGGGATCCATATAAATCTTCCTTTTTATTTGTTCACTAAGTTCTTAGGTCAGCTCTTGCTGACATTTGCCAAGCATGCTTCTGAGATGACTTGAGGGAGAAGGAATTGGATTCTTGAATAATTTATTTCATCTTTAAAGGAAAAAAGAAATTACTACATCCTTCCTATTTCTGATTGGGATGTTGCTCTTATACTACTTCACATTTTCCCATGCTAATGTATTTTTTCCAATTTATTTTTTTTTTCCGTAATAGTTTATGATACACATTCTGCACAAGTGATTTCCATAACATATCAGCTAATAGGTCAAAAATATTTTATATATGAATTCAAACAAACAATTGAACAAGAGCTATTTCATTACACTTGTATTCCACAGAAAAATTTTAAAGCACTGATAAGTGGATTACTTTTTCCTACCACACCTCCCAAGATGTATGGAAATGATTGGGTCAACACCAGTAGCATTTTAGATAAAAACACATTAATATTAAAATGATATTGTAAAAATACTGTTTGAAGAGAGTTTATTTTTTCTGAGCAGAGATGCTACTGTTCATGTTTACTTGTCGTCCCAATGTCTGAAAATTAAATGACTGAATGTCCAATTAACCATTTTTAGAACTTTAATCTCTTCCAGTATACAAAGCCAATTCTCAATTCAGTTCCAACTCAATTTCAAATGCAAATGTCTAATGTCAAGTTCTCAGTACTTTAGCACCCAGTAACATTATGTCTTATCCTGTACAATGACTTCTATTTAGAAATTTTTGTACAACAATGGCTACCCACTGAACAGTAATACTAACAAGCAGCATTGGAGAAAGAAAAGGCTGTTGAAGAAAACTTTACGTTAGCTCACCAACTTAAGCTGCGTGAGAGAGGTAGATTCTTTGTGAAGATTAAAAATCTTCAGTAATTTGGAAAAAAAATTCCTGGCAACATCCACTAAAATTATCAACACATTTATACAACTAGTCAAAAGCAAATGGAAAGAGCACACAATAAGATGAAGAGCATTAAAAAAACCCCCAAGAAATGTCTTGTTAGAAATTATCATAACCTTTCCTGTAAAGGTTACAAAATTTGGAGGACAGTTGTTTTTAGCGTGTTTTCTCCTGCATCTAATAAAAGAGGGAAAGGAGTGAAAGTAATGTCTCCTACTTCCTTTTCCAAAGAACAACAAGTAAACAAAAAAAAAAAATATCACAAAAAATTTCTAAGACACCATTTACAGCTGAAAAGTCCATCTTAACTGACAAATATGGTGTCCATTTACTTAGGTGAACATACAGTTCAACAACATTTAGAACAAGAGAATAATTGGAAAACCTCCACGTAAGACGTTCAAGACAACCCCTCAAAATATGTCTAATGTTTTTAATGGAATGTTTGTCTTAAAAATTCACATGTAATTTAAATAATAGTTATTTTAGTGTTAATTTCAGTAAGAACAGATTTGGCCTCTTACAACACAGGACTTCAAGAAAGGTGGAACAGAAGCAGATTAATCAAGAACTCTAATGAAGCTCACTAGTGTCAGGAATTAAAATTCACGACAATGATAACCCACATAGAATCACAGAATGTTAGAGTTTGGAAGGGACCTCGAAAGATCATCTAGTCCAGTTGACATATGACAGGACAGAACCTCTACAATCAATATTTAGTTACACCAATAAAAAAACCCCCACAAACTAAACCCTACGCAACACCAGTTCCCCCCAAAAAACCCCCAGTCTATCCCGAACACAATTTGAGCTTTACATCGCAGACAGTGAAATACTGGGCATCAACTATCTGATATGATTAAGAGCGATACAAACATTTGCCAAAAATCACATACACATTTAACGAGAAGAGGTAATAAACGGTTTTGGCAGAATAATCTTCAACCTCAGAGTGAGCAGTGTAGAGGAAGAAAGCAGGGAACTAATTTCACGGTGCTCTAGGGGTCAATGCTCTTCCACAACTACCAGCTTTTGAGAAGCTGACACATTAGTTGGTTTTTCCCTTGTTACCTGTGGATGACTTTCAATGTTATGGATTACTAGCTGTAATCAGAAAGCCTCAGTGTGCTGAGTGCTGCCTAACCAGAGCACAAGATAAAAGCATTGGCCCACAGCAGCTGCACTACCAGCCCGAGATTTTGTTTGTCATCCCTCAGAACAGCACCTTCTGTAAGGATTCTTCATCCCTTTTTACCCAAGTTATACTCTAGGGCAACTGACATCACAGCTAAAGAAAAACCACCTACATAGAGTTACGGGGAAAAAATAGGGCCACCAGGATACAGCAAAGCATCAATTCCATGGTAGAAACGCTGAATACTCCAATTCCTGGAAAAATGAACTTATAAAATATTGTACTAAATTGACTCCAGGTCAACCTGTAATTAATGGGAAATCTCATCCCTCTCAAGGCTATTACTTGAAAGTGTGCAAAACTGTTGTAGCTGCTTCATATTTTGAACCACTTTAACAGAATTATGATAGTTATTGACACTACGATTCTTTTTCCATCAATATCGTGTGAGAGATTCAAATGGAATTATTATTAACGACACTCACAGGATCCAGGAACACTGATATAGAGGGTATGATACAAAAAGAGAAGGAGGAAGTTATCTGTTGGTAGAGTGTGTCTAGCCATTGAAAAAGTAAGCTTATTTCCTATATCCAATTAAGAATGGTATACAACTTACAGAAAGCTGGTCTGAGACACAGTTTTATATTTGGCTTCAATATTTGCAGAAGTGTGCATCCACTGTGTTTATGGATGACATACAGCTTATGCAGGAGACATTCAAAAGTATCTCCAACAGAGAACAAATTAATTATACACTTACAGCAAGGGGTGGTTGGTCTGCTCACAAGTTGTGGGAATTCAAAGACAGCTGGTAACTCTAGTTCATGGTTTTGATTTTGTTCCTTTTCTTCAGTCTGGTCAGCCCATACTACCGACTTTTGTCTTTGAATCAGCTGCTCAATCTCCTCAAATTCAGTCTCAGTTAAATCATTTGTCAACCCAGCTTCTTTCAAAGTCAGGTATTGCTTGCGAAGAACTGGAAGCAAAGTATTCAGTACTCTGTAAAACAACAGGAGGCAAGACAAATATGACTAAATCATAACTAATCTGACCCTACTAGCACTGCCACTATTAGGAATATGACAGCATATGTTTCTGTTACACAATCGTGGGTACAGGCCAAGATTTATGAAGTGATTATTTTACATATCTTTTTGCTTAAGAAAACACAATTCTAACCTAGAAAAAAGTTTAAGAAAAATCTTGCGTCTCTTTCAGATAAAACTAAATTCTATAGATATGCCTTCTGAAGTTGCAAATGTCAGAACAGAAGTCTTATCAGGCCTGCTATGAAACCATACTTACTTTTCTGTCTGCTTATAATACTGATCTTGAAGGGCCACCAGAGATAACATGTGATCAATCTGGGCTTTCAGGTCCTTAACTTCTAGATTTAAATGGCAACACTGCAGATCTTTACAGAGTTCCTTGGGAAATAAGCAAGAAAAAAACCAAACAACTGGGCATCAAACTGAAGGTAAGAAACTAAAATTTAAATAAAAATAATATTAATTCATCCTATACTGGAAAGCAAAGATGAAGTGGACCTACATTATTATAACAAAGTTTTATGGTAGAAAGGTATGAATTGTTTGATTCTTATTTCATAGAATCATAGAATCAGAGTGGTTAGGGTTGGAAAAGACCTAAGATCATCCAGTTCCAGCCCCCCTGCCATGGGCAGGGACACCTCCCACCAGCCCAGGTTGCTCAAAGCCTCATCCAGCCTGGCCTTGAACCCCTCCAGGGATGGGGCATCCACAGCTTCTATGGGCAACCTGGGCCAGTGCCTCACCACTCTCAGAGTGAAAAATTTGTTCCAAATGTCTAGTCTAAATCTCCCCTCTTTCAGCTTATAACCGTTACCCCTTGTCCTTATTTCTTAGCTTTGCTTTGGCCAATAGTGGGTGTACTGTAATCAGCATTAAGAATCCAACAGGGACACGTGTATATATCTATGCATGCCCCAAAATATGCTTGCCTCTTCTCCTGTGTACACGCTCCATGTCTGAATTTCAGTTACATTGTCTGAGACAAGTCTTTTGCCGTATTCACTGTATTTCACTGTATCTTCTTGTGACACCAACATCTTGTTTCAAATATCTTAATTTCTTTTAAGTTATCAACAAATTTTAATCACCCCAATAAAAATACAGGTACTGAAATATATTCCATTATATGAGTCACTTAAATGCCCACTGCACTGCCATTTAAGCCACTCTCATTGCAGGCTGAAACCAAAAGGCAGGGAGGAACAACCTCACACCTTTCTTTTCCTCTTCTTCTTCCTGCACAGACCTTCATCTTTTCCCTTCCCTTCTGCCAGCTCTGATGCTTTTCTGAGGCTGCACTGAGCCGACTCTAAAGCTTGGCAGAAAACCTAACACAACTTCCTACTTCCTTCCCCCTTCCCACTCCCTCCTTTGGCACCATCCAAAAAGAAGGGGTTTTTTGGCAAGGCTGAGAATTAGGTTGTCACATGGTTAAACAAGCATCAAGAGCTACTGTAAAGGCAGGACTAGAAGTGTATGGCCAGGAGCAGGATCAATGCTGTGGCAGCCATCTGAAAGGCTCAGTCATACTTATTCCCCTTTAGCATCCCTTTTTGTATGCAATCATACACTTCATTAACAAGGAATACTTGCACAAACAATGAAGTACTTTTAGGGTAGAAGAACAGAAACAGCTAACACTAGAATTTGAAACCACCCTGAAAGAATGGCAGAAGTCATGAGTAGGAGCAAGACAAAGAGCTTTAAATATAGTCATGTTGCATACAATTCATGAAATCAAGCCTTGAAGTGAAAGGCATTTTACCTTTGGAATACACCCATCTTGACCCAGAAGGCGCATTTCATTTTCAACACGATGCAGCCAACTGGTATTTTCCTCAAAGTGTTTGACCTCCTCTTCTTTCTTCTTTTGCATATGTATGTGGTGGGTTCTAAGCATTGCAAGCCTTTGATCCCGCTTGCAAGTGGCCTAAAAATCAGCATTTAAGAGAAAAACTTTCAAATAATGTTCACAAACATCTCTATATACAAAAAGGTTTTTTTTTTCCTCTGTATACTTTTATACTCAACTGGGCATAACAAACACTTTGCATTTTTGACCAGTTCAATTAAAGTGAAGTAGCACGTTCTCCTTATGGGCATTACTGAATTATATTTAAATATTTTATTTTTTTTTTCCCCCTGGAAGCCCTTATAACAAGGGCTACAGTCACTCAATTATTCCTTTAAAGAATATGACATTGGATTTGATAAACTTCTGTTCTAGGATATAATTAGACTGGAAAAACTACACATGCCCATACAAACATACTTCTAGATACAACATAACCTAATAATTTCTAGTAACTCAAGTACAAATATGAAGAAGGAATTCTATCTGCTTTTTTTTTCCTCATGCAATATGTCCTAGAAAATGCCCGCTAAAGGATAAACTGTTTGGCAAAAGGAAAACCCTCTGTCTTCAAGCATTAAAATTCTTCTGATGCTTCTCTGAAATGTGACAACAAAAAGGCACAAAACCAGCAACAGCAAGCTGGATATGAATGAGGCAGTGTCCTAACAAGGCAAAGGAGACTCTTTTATTCAGAGGACAACTTTAGTTTTCAGTATACTTTAAAAATCAGGTCACTAACTCAACTAGTCACAGAGAACTTCAACTTTAGAGTTCAGCTTTGCCTAAACTTTAGTTGGTTAAAAAACCCAAACAAAACCCCACAAATATTTGAAGCATATTGTTAAACTCAACAAAAAAAACCATACAGTAAGTTTTCTCCTTCTTTCTGAAATTATTGTTTTGAATTAAAGTGTTCCAAGTGGGATTGTTCAAGTACAGATAAAATAAAATTTGCTTTGTGTTAACTTACCTAAAGTCATTATTATATCTAGTTACTAAGCACAGACAGTTAACGGTAAAATAACAAAATATTTTATAAGTAAAACTTGTCCTTTGAAAATTAATATTTCAGAAATACCCCAGTGGTCTAACAGTGTGTTTTACAGAGAGAAAACAGAGAGGAATTTAGAAAAATAGCAAATATGTAAAATTACAAGGAGGAACAGAAGCATTATAGTGCACAAGGGAAACATGAGCAGTCACTCTGGTAATCAAGTGACTAGATTCCAAATTAAAATCCAATTTATTCCAAAGTAGTCGTAAAAGGACATTGAATTTTATCATCACAGTGACTTACTCTTGTTACTACATAAGGCATCGTATTTACAGGACAGTGACTCTTAACCCTTAGGAAACCACATCTATAAATTCACTAATGGCAAAACTAACATTTGAGTGCACTGCTAACATTCAAAATAAAGGTTAAATCAGCTCATAAAAAACATTCATACGAAATATGAAGGTGTATCTCCTCATTATGAATATATAGCTATGCTACATTGTAAGCAACATTTAAAAGTATGGCACAAATAGTATTCACTTCAGAGTTTCTATGACATAAAACGGAATTCTAGAACACATTAGTCACTTGAAGTATCCTCACTAATGACAAGCAAAAATGTATGATATATTTTCACTTTGACATTTATCTAAGGACTCAATTTCATGTGAATCACTGGGAAAAAATAGTCATATGGTAAACTATCATTTTTGGCCAAATACAGATTGTTATGTGACGCAGCAAAATCAGCCCCACCCTCAACTTCACAGCTACACATGAAACATATATTCCTTTAAGCTAACTTTTATCAGAAAAATTAAGATACTATAAATAAGTAAGCATGGTTAGATACTTTGATTCTTCTAGAAAGACATGAGCATTTAATGCTGCACAACAGCAATTGTTCATACTTAGCCTCCAAATTATTTTCTTAAAATTCAAGACAACTAAACGTAATTATTTCAGCCGACATGACACTGTCCTTAAGCAGCTATACAAGCATCTTCCTGGTGACAACTGAAAACACCAATAAGAATCTGTCTTGATTAGCACAAGGTCCATGCTTTTCCTTATGAAACACAAAAATTTCTCAGCCTGACAACAGCTTAATGGTTGGACTATACATAAACATGTTTTAATTTTGGACAAGAGCACCATGAACATCCTGAGTCTAGTCAGGTCTTACGTAACTGTGACAACTAAGCCTACACGAGGACAAGTTGAAAAGTTTTCACAATTAGCAGTAATAAGCACATCAACAGTTTTCTGTGCAGCATAGAAAAAAACAGCACACCCGGCATTGCTACTACATTTTCTGTATTAATGTAAAAGAATGTTATCTGAGTGATAAACAGTGTGTCCCATTTTAATTGTTTAAATATTTAAGCATTACCTAACTATATAATTACTTAAGTAAAATTCATACATTAGTATAGCAAAATGAAGAGATGATACCCTGTATTACAATTAAATAACTCACCTTCTCTACTCTTTCTTCAGAGCATATCAGTTGAATTTGTTCATGACATTGTTTCTGGTAGTATTCCTTCAGTGCGTTTTCTTTCAGTCGCATTTCTAACTTGAGGTATTCTTTCCTGATTGCCTCACGGTTTGCAAACACATTTTTAAGGATTTCTTTATATCTATTAGAACCAAAGGATAAGAATAAATAACAGATTACTTACTGAAGCCTTTTCTTATGACCGTCTCCTTTACAATGGGAACTTTCAATTCCAAGTTAACAAAATAAATATAAAAAAATTAAGAGGGGAAAAAGTAAAGCCGGTTATAGATGAGCACTAAGTAAAGTGTCAGTACATCAGTAAAGATTTTATGTACTCAAACTGGAAATGGGACTTCAAATTTTGAAGGGCTTACTCAAATTAAACTTTGTTGTATTTCTGAAGATGACACTGTCTTCAGTTGCTCACTTTCTCTGAAGTTCTGTTGTAGAATTTTAATCACTAGTGGATGACAAAAATCAGAACACGCATCATGTTTTAACACTTACCAGGCTAATGGGGGAAAAAACAAACTAGTGATAGAAGGTACTTAAGAGTTATTCCAAGGAGACAAATGTTTCAATGGCCTAAAAATCTGCTTATCTCTAGTCTGCAATGCAAATCAGAATACCAATAGGTATAAGGATAAAGCCTGGAAGCACTACTATGTTGCAATATAAGCTTCAGTGGTACTTTTTCACTTCACTCCTGAATACTGAAAATGCAGTACAGAATAGCCCAAGAGATACTGTATATCTTGATAAAGACCAACCTTGTATACAAGCCATTTCATATCATCCCAATTACTTGTTAGGACTTTACATAAGAATAAAGGCATAGTTTAACACGGACGTGTTCTAAAGACATGCAACACTTGAGGTTGTTACAGTGTTTAGTATAAAAGATCATGAAATTAAATACCATAAAAATACAGTAAAATAAGATAGGTTCAACTAGAGATCAAGTTGAAGAGACATTCTTGCTATGTTGACTTCTTGCCAGTGTGTTTCAAAAGTAGCAATCCAGTTTTATAGTCTAAAGTCTGAATAACTCAGTCTTTTATTCTAGTGTTTTAGTACTGTCATTTTAAAAACAAACAGAATTAACAAAAGAATTATTTTCTACAGTTTTAGAAATTCAACCATTTTACATAAAAGTGGCCAGAGAATCCTATTTTATCTAGGTAAAAATGTGTACTAAAACACACAGAGAATTTAGAAACAATATTTATGTAAGGAATAAAGTAGTCAGCTGCAGAGTATCAGAGTTCTTACCCTATGCTGTTACTATCTGCACTACTATACTATCTATTGCACAGCTGGTTGGAGAATTTTTTTTCTCCATAGTATCCATAGAAACATGGTTCCTCCCAGCTGCCCAGGAAACAACAGCAATGAGAAATGAAGGTGAACCCTCTTTCTCAATTTCCCTCACAGTAAAATGCTGAGCATAATTTAAGAGAGGCTGCAGGTTCTCATTTTATGTACAGTCACTGTGAGGAACTATTACTGGTAAATCAACCCTTTGTGTACTTATAATCATCAGTGTCTCAAATATAGCATCAAGTATAGAAGCCTTTGTAAAGCTCCTGCCTTGAGCTGGATTCACTGTTTCAGTAAGCACATTCTATTCTTATAGAGTTACCTCTACCCTCTCTTCCTCACTTAAAGTCATCCTGTAGGCAAATCCAAGCTGCAAACTCTCTGGACTACCTAGTCTCAAATTACTCATGAACCTGTCAGTGGTATTTCCAAAGCCAGTGTTCACTGTCTACCTCAACAGACTCAAGACTTGAAGGGCTAGCAGGCAATGCATCTCCAAGTGGTGCAATCTCTTCCCGACAACAATGAAGCAAAAGCCATAGGCAGTTGGAATGAAACTTGAGACTGTGGATAAGGCTCTCTACCCTATCCAAAACAGGAGGGAGAAAACAGCAGAATGCCTTTAAAACCTGTAAAAGAATGTGTGGGAAATCAACTCATTACCCACACCCGCAGTAGGATGAACCTGACAGGATCCCCAGAAGGAAGAAGAGAATGCCACATCCACTTTATTGCTGATATCTAGAAGGAATGGGATAGGCTTACATGTGTCTCTATGAATATTCCAGAGCATTAACACACAAACATTCTCTGACCAACAAATCTGGGCATAGAATATGTCCAGTATTTTGAAAAGACATTTTTAGAGACCTTGCCCATGACTGATTCTTCCCACACACACAGAATGAAATGAAGGGCAAATCACAGGAAATTAAATTAACCTTAAAGACTTACAGTGCAAAAATATGCAGCAAAACTGTCAGAACTATCAACATGACTTAGAAACCTACACTTCTTTTGAAAATGAAATTTAAATAACCTGAATGAGAGGTTTACTGAAACCTCTGGAATGCCAGTAAAATGAACCTCAGAGAGCATTTTGCTTTGAATGGGTTTTTACTTTCACCTCAGAAGATTTTCCAGGTTAAAAAATACCACATTCAAAGGGCCCATAAAAAAAGTTAACTTAATAAACCTAGGTGAATAATTCTCAGAAATGTGTGATGAGATATGCAGAGACAGGCCAGAAAGACTGTTACACAAAAACCTAACCTTCTTATGGAATAGCTTGACTTCTGCAACAAATTTGTACATCACACATCTTAATTTGTCACTTTTTGTGTGCTCTCAAGAGTGACTGTCATACCAGAAAAGATAGGCAGGAACATCACCAAGAAAAAAAGAGATCAAGAAATATAAAAGCAAGAGAAAGCAAGGAACCTACAAACATCAGTTAAACTCTTTGTGGAATTAAGCCTCTCTTAAACCTTGCAGGAAAGATGCTGCCGAAGTAGTATCTGCCAGGGGTAGCAGCAGCTGCTGTCATTTATGCAAACTACATTCTGGCTACCCACAAAAACGACCTGTTAAGCAGCTTTGCTGAAAGCTAGCATTCACATGCTCCTTTCCTGCTCTGGACATGTGTTTCTTCCCCACGCCTCCTGCCCTCAATTACTAAAACAACAGAATTGGACTTGTGAGGAGAAACAACGCAAATAGAATATAGAGTATAGTTTTGGAATTTTTGTATAATCAAGATACAGTCAACCTCTATTTGGTAACATGTTCCTAGAGTTATTAAAAAAGAGCCCTGTAAACATTATACTGTCCCTCTCCCCAAAATGTATCATCTTGATTTTAGAAGTCTAGATCTTGTCCAGTTTATTTATAATAAAACTTTAAAAGTATAGCAACTTTCTCTTACTTGTAGGATATTTTCACATTTTTTGGGTTATAAAGATAATCTAACTACCAGAAAAAGGATTTTTTTCTGTTATTGAAGGACTTTCTGTGAGATGGACTTCCATCATTGTCCAAGTAAGACTGTTCCCTAGACAGATCTATCAGGAAGCTTTTGTTGTTATTATGTTCAGCTTTTTTGTCCTTTCTTAAATGTATTGTATTTATTACGTAACACTCAAATATACTCTATTTTGTTACATTTATCATTCTACTTCTATCATTAGTTTGTTGTTCAGCCCATAGACAGTCCAGTTGTTTGGCTGTTTAGTAGTTTTGTCTGTTTGCTTGGTTTTTTTACTGCATTTTTTTTTTGCTGAATTTTTTGTTGATTGTCCGCCTAGCAGTTATTTTTCATCACTGGACTTTCACCAATTTTTCAGTGTTCTTCCTGATAACTCCTCAGTGAATGACCCTACCCCAGCCCTGTACCTCCCACAAATACAGATTTTCAATGAATATTTTTGCTACAAAACCTTTCACAATCACCGTTTCATTTTAATCTGTCACTGCATATGTGTGTGTACATATGTATGTATGCATATATATGTCTGTACACACATATGCACTCAGTTTTAAAACAAAGTGCTTTCACGTTGGGATCCTTCTAACAGCAAGAATAATAATAAAAATAAGATCTGAGAAGTCATGGTGACTTAAAATCAATTCATAGCAACATTCCTAAATATTGGCTCAAAATAAGATAAAGTTTATAAAATCTACATTTCTTTTTATCTTTTCTAAAAAGCTACTTTAGAATGTGGTACTTGAAATAACCAAGATTAAAGATGGTCATTATTTTTCACCAAAATCTTTTGCTTTCGGTAGTAGAAAAGAACTTCTTAGCCCTACAGAGCTCTGGAGCTTCCTGGGAAAACATTTGTCCTAAAATCTTTTGTGTTATTAATGGTGGAATTTCAATGGCATGTTAATACAGAATAACATTGGTAGCCTTGGGACAAAAATACCTGACTTTCCCATGAAATATCTTCATTACAATAATTAGAGTCATTTAAGTTGGAAAAAGACCTTTAAGATAGAGTCCAATAATGAAGCTATTGATAAACTTTAAAAAACCCAGCACAGCTTTATAAAAACTACATGCGCACACTGATGAAGCTCATAACTTTCAGTAAGATTAAATTCTCTATCATAAATAAATTCTCTGACATCAGCAGTTCTAATGAAAATTTGATGGGAATAAATATATTCCACAGAACACTGATATTGCTGCACTTCTGTTAATTCAGTAAATACGTCATAAGAAAGTAACTATAGATGCAAGATCTTCACCACTGATCGAAATTGTGATGTCAGTGAGTTGTGTCAGCTTCTTGAGGATCAGAGTAGATAGTTATCCTGCACTGTTTAACTGAGTTATTTGCCTAGAAGGTCAATATCAGGATAAGTCCTCAAGTACACAATATTTGTTTCATTTTAAATCCAACATCAAATTGTTCTGAAAAAAAGTGATAAGTCTGCAAAGCCACACCTAGTCTAAGTAAAGCAATGTTAAAAATGAGGAAACCAATATTGAAAAGAGCTAGTTTGTTTTACAAATGCTTTCACAAGTTATGCAAACTCCAGTTTTGAAGATCATAAGGTGATTGATTTACCTCTCTATTTCCACTTGCTGGTTGTTTGAAAGTACTGCTTCCTTTTCTTCGTATGCTCTCAGTTTCTGTTTCAACATTAGGATCTAAAACAAAAAAAGGTACCTTTTAGTTGGAATATAGGGGTTTTTTTGTGGGTTTTTTTAAACCTATAATTCTGTGCTTATGATTTGACAACCTTTACAAATAGCAGTAGGTGATATTCCTCTTAGAATACAAAACATCTTTATTACTTGAGAATGGAAGAATTAGGACAATATTGCCTCACAGGTTCAATCACAAACATTTTTTTTGTATTTGAAGTTATAACAATCTTTCAAACTTTTAACAACAGATTTTTTACATACCTCTTTCTTTTGTTCATCACAAATTTTAACATACTGGCTTATATGACTGTCAAGACTAACAACGTTGCTCTTCAACTGTTAAAGGAAAGAAACAAGTTAAAGGCTCCTTCATGTTTATCTGCATAATAAATACACTGTGTCTAAGTACTACACAGTTACACTTGTACTATATTATGAGGAAAGAGGTGAATAAAATCCTGACTTGCACAAGAAAAATACGACTCTCCACTTTTGCAGCCATCTGTTGCAAACCCATGGCCATGTCATTTCCCTCAATAGAACAATAAAATATAATTACATTTACATGTGCAGTGCATTTTGCATTTATTCAGACTAGGTTTACTATTTAATGTGTCTAGTGCATTTTATTATAAAAACTATTTAAGTATGCAGCAAATGTAAACTACAGTCAACCGGAAATTATATCAAATAAAGACTTGTGATACAAAGGATTATGAAAAAAAAATCAGAACAAGAGAGAACAGAAGACAGGACACCACAGTAGCTTTTCATTTATCAATATAATCTCATTGAGCTTCTTGGCTCCAGCTCAATTCCACCCATAACAAACCTGGACTGGGTATTGTACAACTGCTCAGACATTTCTTTAACGTGCTTTACAGTTCTCTGAGAATGTAACAGCAATATACTGAAACTGGCTGTGAATTCTACCAGCTGAGGATTATTTCTAAATTCAGTGCTCACAAAACAAAGTCTTTCAATCTGGCAGCATAACCCCATTATGAAGGTATGTTGCTTTTAGGCCAGAACTAGTATCTACTACATCTATCACTCAGACGGTAGAGAGTTGACTGTAAAAAGGAAGAGATAACTGAACAAAGTTTTGAGGCAAAAGTGAAAGAAATTATATTTTAAAAGAAATAACTCTCCTTTTAACACTATATTGTTATATTTTGACAAAAGATCAATAAATATCAGCATACTCACAGAAGACTTGATATCCTTTGCTCGGTTTGCATACTTAAGAGTATTATATGTATCATCATAGAACATAGAAGATGGACTAACAGCAGCTATCATTATTGTTCGGCAATTTCCTCCAAGAGAATCTTTCAATAAACGCGTAAGCTTGCTGTTTCGATAAGGAATATGCTGCTTCTTGCTCTAGAGAGTTACAGGCATTTTTACGGATTAGTCAATTGTACCTTAAGTATTCACCTGCCTAGAAGTCTGCTTAGAATCTCAACAAGGCCACAAAACACAACAAACAGCCTTGTAACTTTTCTTTAACATAGGTAATTTTTCTCAAAATCACATATAATCTCAAATGCTTTTTAAATCTCTTGGACCTGTTTAACACCTTTATAACACATGTACTAGCCAGCTTACTTTCTGATGTCCAGATACATAACTATTTTTGTAATGCAGGAAACAGCAACAGTAGACTACCTTAAACTACTTCTTAGTTCACAGAATAATTGAGGTTGGGAAGGACCTGTAAAGATTCATCTAGTCCAATCCCTCTTCTCAAAGCAGGGTCAGCTAGAGCAAGTTGCCACAGACTATGCCTAGCTGGGTTTTGAATATCTCCAAGGATGGAGACTCCACAACCTTTCCAGGCAACTCAAAGTCTACTTTGTGAAGCTTTTTTTTAACTACATCTACAGAATCTTTATCTCATGGTACAAAACCAGGTCATTAGGACCCAAATCCCACATCAAATAAGTCAACACAATTTTAAATTCTGCCTCCCACTCCAACAAGATAGTGATGAGAATGTGTGGCACCAGGAAGGGAAATAAAAGCTCTGATCATTTTTCCCTCGCATATTTGAAGGAGTAGATTCCTAGTTGACCAGAAAGACCAAAAGGGTGTAGTTTAGGCAATGGACTTTTTGGCAAAATTTCAGGAGGTTTTGTCATTCTCACGCACAACTGTTCCCACTTTCTCCCTTGAGCTGGTGAGCCAGCTCGGGAGACTAATTCACTACTGTGAGCAGGAAATGGGGGTGGTGGTATGGGATGTGTGTGGATGTATGTAGGAGCACAAAAGAACAACTTTGGATAGGTGGTGTTTTCTCCTATAAAAGCCTCCTCCCCCAAGATTAAAGAGCATAAACCTCTGGAAAAATCTTTGTCCTTATAAGGGTATTGATTTACTTATGCAAGCTTCTCTACATATGATTATTTTTGAACAAGGTGGGTAAGAAAAGCAGGTACATTAATCTTTGGCACTATCCCTAGGTAGCTGCATGCTATTTTTGAAAACTCTTAGGCTGTCTTTCAGCTATCACAGACATGATGGTGGAAACCCATAAGAAAACCTTAAAGGAAAATGATGTGAGACATGTCAAAGTAATCCCCATTACTCAATGAGAGCTTACTGTTTTAAAAAATGTTTTCAGAATACTAGGAGGTAAAGATTGCATGGGAAAGCAGTACATACCTTTGGATCTGACAAGGCATTAATGACATTTCCGAGAGCTAGCAGGGAGCGGTTAATATTTGTTCCTTCTCTAAAACGAGCTCCCTTGGCGTTTGTCACGCTGGCACGTTCAGATCCAGCCAGGTCAATGAGAGACATTTTGGCGATGCGAACATCTTGATTAATACTAGCTGTTTTATCTTGCTGCCTTAGATATATCTACAATAAAGAAAAATAATTACAAAGTGCCTGCTAACCAGTCTGTTGTTATTCTAAGCAGTAAGTTAATTTCACAACATAATAACTGTTTTCAAAAATTCTTATCAGAATCCTTCTAGGAATCCAAGTTAAACCTTTCAGCACGTGGCCTAACACCAACAGGGAGTTTGCTATAAAGGAAAACAGTGAATCCATTTCTGACACCTCAAACTCAACTGCTTCAAGTATTAGCAGAGAAAAAGAAGCAGAGTGTGGTTGCACTGGGTCTGGCTGGGATGAAGCTAATTTTCTGCACAGTAGCCCATATGGTGCTTTCAGATTTGTGACCCAAACAGTGCTGATAACACACCAACATTTAGCTTTTACCAAAGAGTGGCTGTACGGAGTCAAGGCAGTGGGCAAGAGGTTGCAAGAGGACAGAACTGGGATAGCTGACCCCAACTGACTAAAATGCTCATTTACTGCTGTGAAAACACATACTACTCCAGGGGGTCTTTAGGAAAGTTGTGACCCCTGAGGCCACTTGTTCCCCCCTGAACCCTTCTTTCCTAAAGTTTTCATGGTGCAGGAGATATAGAAAGAACTAAATGCTTTTGCTTCATTCTGCTAGTGATGGTATCATTTCCTCAGGTTTATGAGGCAGTAGGCAGAGCGTGATTACACAGTCAATAAGAAGTAGTTATCCCTAGATGGCTTTTACTTTTTCAAGTAAATAAATAATTTCCTTTTATGTTGAGTGCCTTGCCATTTTTAAGGCTAATTGTTACTGACACTTTCATGAATGCACTTTTGGACAGTAAGTGATTTGGCAAAGAATTGCCATACATATATGGTGATTGACTAATAAAGACAACATCTCACCAGTTCTGTAGCTTTAAGCTTTGCACATGAGAAATGAAGTCTTCACAGTGATTCGTAATGGAAAAAAAATTGACAAGTATTGGGAGTGAATAAAATTCTTATGGCTTGCCACAAAAGGTACATCTATACCAAATAGACATGTTTCTATACCAAACAATAAAAGTAAGTTCTGTGGTACTATTTCTAGTACAATACAATACAAAAAAAAAAAAAAAAAAAAGCCAGCCACTTCCTTGTACTTACCTTGGTAAAACAGCTATCTCAGGCTGGTAGCACTCTACCAGAACCCAGTAACTATCATTAGTGAAGTAGGGAGAGGTGGAGTGACAGCCAAACTATGTTGTATGACTCAAGCTTTTATAAAAATTCAAAAGATACTGAAAATGCCCCAAAGCAGAATCTTTTCTACTTCTTTGTCTGTCAGCAGAATGCTTTCAACAGAACAGTGTGGCAACTGGGATTTTACTTTCAGATGCAGTAATTGCCTGACCTAGATAGAAATTTCAAACCTAAGACAGATGGTACAGTAAGGCAAAACTTGCATCTCTAAAATCAGCTCAGAATGTCCTGGGCCAAGACTTCTACTACTTTCTGAGTCAGTTCCAGAAAACATCCTGCTCCAATAAAGTTAAAAACAAAAACCAAAGCCAGTGTAAAAGATAATTGATCTCTACAAACAAGAGCAACTCCAAAAGTAACAGAAAACTTAAAAACGGAGTCAAGACAGCAATAGGGATTTCTCATCATTTATATCGTGGAAGGAAAAAGGCAATAAAGGATAAGCAGCTAAAGACATTTCACAGAATGTCACAGATTTGTGGAAATAGATGAGAAACTGACATAAATTATTACTTGTAGTGGTAATTGACTAGTTTGTAATTATTTCTTATTAGCAGTGTTGGCATGTGTAAGTGCATCAAGTAGATAGAGTACCTGAGAAACCACTTTTTAAAAAAGTGCATGGTTGTGAATTTGCTTAGCTTAAACCAGTACACATTATTTAAAAACTGTTAAACTTTTAGCTGCATTCATTGGACCAATCTAGCTAGCAACAGCAATATTGCTTTAAAGAGCTACATGCAGGTGCAGTGTTTCTATTATGCATTTATTTACACACACATTTTTCTAAATAAACGAAGTAATCCTCCCCTCCTCTGAAGCATAAAGTCACTTCTGTGAAAAAGGCTTAAAACCCATTCGCTCCTAAATGTGCTATTATTGAAAGGCTGCACTAGCTTATCTTTGAGAACACATGATATTAGTAGGTATTTATATAAATCACCCATTCAAGATACAATTCTCTAACACATCATGACTTTGAGCACTTAACAGAAAATAACACTTAAGTGAAAGCAATTCAATTCATTGATTGACAGCAAGACCATCTCAAAAGACAAACTCAACAAACATTCAGGATTATCTCATTACATCAGGAATACTGCAAAGACCACCAGAGAAAGTTTTTGCTAACCATGGTATCCTTCAAAAGAATCAGTCTGATAGTTTTTGTGAATGAAGTGTGCACTGAGACTGAATGCTCAGTACATAGCAGAATGTGCTTTGAGCCGTGACATGGCAATGCCTAATCTTGACACTGAAAGGTATTTTCCTTCATGAAAAAGTTCCAACACCCAGACATTTATCCATGAATATCCAGTTCAATCAAGCATGCCATTTAGCTGACTGCAGCCGCACATGTAGAATGGCTAAGAGGCAGCCAGTGCATTTTACACAATCATGGCTACTTTGCTGGCCACTACTGCCATGGGGACACAGAAAACCAAAAAAGAATACAGATATTAATCCAGAAATTAGTTTGTCAGTTATCTCAAGCTCAAAGACAAAAATGTTCACACTAGTTTTAGCAGTTTTAAGAACTCTATTATCAACAATAATGACCTCAAAGAAAAATCATTCAGGGATTAATATATGTAAGCTGCAAAAGTATACACTTCTTGCTTTTTGAGTTAGTTGCTTACTGTAACAGTATTTGGCAAGCATCGAAAGGATTGTTACTTGTACTTTCTCATGCATCACACCAGTTTACAGTGCACAAGTAAATACAAAAAATAAAAAACCAAAACTTGTTCATTTTAGAACATAATAGGAAAAGCACTTACAAAACCACTGAGCATGATAGTTTTCATTCAGTGCATTGCAAAGAAGCTGCATCCTAAATATATACAGTTTTTATATATACAGAGAAATTATCAATTTCCTGTTCCTACAATATTTAAATATGAGAGGATCTTTGTTTTCATTATGTTTTTACTTATATTGCCAGAAAGTAAACACTCCTCTCACCCACAAGCATTCAAATTTGGTTCACTTTTGCTGTCTGTGAACTGGAAATAGTTTGAAGTGATTAATTTTAAAAACATGTAAATATGATGAAGTATACCAATCCATTTTTTGTCATACATTCAAACAAAATCGTGGTAAGATAAAGGTATACAAATTTTGTCAGTATAGTTTATTTGGAGAATATGCAACCTTTGGTAACAAGTAGATATAATCTACAGGGAGATCAATTTGCCAGAATAAACACAGAATGTAGGCTGGAAAAGACAAAATCTCTAGCACCTCTATTCACAGAATTGCCTTCTTAAAGATATTGTGACTCTGTAACATTTACCTAATTTATTTAATTGCTTGCCACTTTTAGAAATGAACCACGAAGAATGCAAAGCCTGCTGGATAATATAATCCAGAGCTTTTTCCTGGGTAAAGGTGAGGGAGGTAAGACATTCCAGCCCAGCAAGTAAAGAAACAGAAATCAGCAGTTCACTCTCTGATCTCAGTCTGTGGCACTGCACTTTGTGCCTTATTAAGGGCAGCACACATACACAACAACGCAGCTCTCAAATTGGACAAGTTCGTTAAAAAGTCTTTGCCTTAAATGTACAACCATGGGCAAGACCTCAGAGGAAATTAAAAATAGGAAGGGCAATTTCAAACAGAAGTCTAAGGTATATAACAAAATGTAGAAACTTTTAGACTGGCAATGGCTTTTGCTCTATTACACATTTAAGTATTAAACACATTTACAGTCTGTTATTAACCTCTTTCTCATCGGTATTGACAGTAGAGCTCTGGAGTGGTGTCTTTACAGCTACCTGCATTGCCATCATCTATGTCCAGACACAAGCTTATAGACATTAAGCATTGCCCGAGTCTGCAGATCCAGTGAAGAACTGCCTAACAGTTAAATAGTTTAGCTGTAATGCAAAGACCAGGATTCAAATGAATTTTAATATTTTGCAACCCATTTAAATATTTTGCAACATATAAATAACTGAAGATAATGTGCTGAGTTTTAACTAACAAGACTAATTTTTAAGTATTATTCTTTTTAAATATCATGAGTTGTATTTAAGAGGAGTCAGAAGGATAAGGTGGTGGTTAGCAAACAGCAACAATCTCTAGAGAAGCCTTAAATTCTATCAGATTGTACAACACAGTCAAAACTCTCATCTGTGGAGACTAAAAATCAGCATTTCATTTTGATCATGCAAGTATGTGTATGGAGATACTTTCAGAGATTATATATGCTTCAGTTGTTCTAAAAATTGACACACACCAGCATAACAAGAAATTACTGTAGTGTAAAAATCAACATTAACTGAAATAAGCAGGATGAAGAAGTACTACTTGAGAATTGCAGTTATACACACTGACTGTAAACTGAGTTTGGTAAAATATTTTTTCCTAGACCAACACTGAGCAACATAATGAAACCAGAAAGCATTAAAAAAGTCCCAACAATTTTCAGTTTATAAGATTATAATATGGAAGTATATTCAAAGCTTAAAATTACAGTTTTACAGAAAATATATTTCTTCTAAGGAATATTAGTTCCAACTATTGGAACTAGAGAGCTTTTAGTTGAATTAGTTTTTCAAATATGATCACTATGAACCTTTACATACTCACAAGGAATGAGAAGTCAATAAGAAGAGTAAACTGGAAAACTTTAATCTCCTCTCACACAAACTAGGTTCAACACAGTTTAAAAACAAACAACTACTTTCTGTTGTATTCAACTTTAAACAAAGACTCCAACTCGCACATAATGACCACTGTACATCTGCTATATTGTATTACCTGAAAGACAGCATGGGACCGGGAAGAGGAGGCATTTACATCTGTGGGGTGCTGTGTTCTATTTTTATTTCCATAATCCAACATTTGAAGGATTTCCTCTGCTGATTTAGGCTTTTAAGGGTAGAGCACAAGATAAATGCACATTTTTTTCCTTTTTGTCAACTATAAGAGATTCTACATTGCTTCTAAAATACGTTAACGTTCATCTTCAAAAAAAATAAAGGAACTTAAAATTTTAGTTACTTAAAAATAAGATAAATTTATTGTTTTGGAACTGAGGCACTTCAACAAACATTCTCAGTTAAAAGGCAGTACGGTATGAAAAGCAAGTACTTAGTAACTGCAGAAATTCAAATCACAGAATTTTTTTAGTAAAGAATTCAAACAAATCTGCAAGTGTTCTCCACAGTTAGAAGCAGCCTTATTTAAGAATGATTGACTTAATTTTTTTTGTACTAACACATTAAACAGTGACATACTATATTTTTTTCCCCACAAGACCCAGGCTTTGGGAAAGATGATGCTCACAGCATGAGTCAAACTAATAAAAATATTTCCCATTGAATCATTATTCCAAGTACACAAAAGCTGGAAACTACGTAGCATGTAACATACACTAAAAGGCTGCAAGAAAACAGGTCCACAAGACTTGATTTTCAGTTTGGAAAACCAAGTTCTGTCACCGACTTTGCCAAGGAATTGCCATGCTGGCCTGGAAAAGTAATTAAGGATGACTCTTTTCAAACGTGGTTATTTAAAAACAACCCTGAGATGTTGCAGAGGTGTGGAACTAAGATGGCACTGAAGGCAGCAAATTTCTTTAACAAATGCTAAGATGTTTTAACCAAAAAACAAATCTTCCAAAAGCTGAAGATGAGATTATGACCTGGTGGCAATTACAGAG